TCTGAACCCTACAGAGTTAAGGCTCTATCATGAGCCTAGATAGCATTAAGAAACAAAAATTAAGCTTGGAAGATTTGTTTGAGGTGCTTTATTTAGGCAAGCCTACTGCCTGTAAGGACTTAATCAGTTTCTCCAGATATTTGGGACACTAGCTGGATTAAGGCTCTTTCAGTGCTATTTAGCTGGAACAAGGAATACAAGAGGTGCAGGGCCTGTAAGAAAGAACACATTTGACAGGACATGAAGAGAAAAGGGCTGCGTTTATGTTCTCTGGAGGACCCTAACCTTTCTCTTTTATCACTTCCCATGCATTCCTGCCCAGAGCTCAAAACTCAGGCGTCTTGTGCAGCCCAGAAATCTGAGCAATTGTGCTCAGTGGCTGCATTTTCCCAGGGAGTGTGCTTCAGTGTGGACTGTTTCTGGATAAAAGGATGTCCTGTTCTGAGCTGTCCCTCCCTGAAAGACTAAAGTCTGTTGCTTCTCATGATGGTCTGTAAAGTTCTCTATCAGTAAGAAGTGTGCCCTAAACTCACCAAATGTCCAAACATTTTGTGGTTGGGAAAAATGCAAAAAATGTTGTTAAATTAGTCTTATGGATTTGTTTAAAATTTGAAGCATATATACATGTATGTGTGTAACGTGTATGTTCGGTGAGTGTACATATCTCCACACAAACACATGTGTAAGTGAATGAATAACCACTAGTGAGGGTTTGCAGCTGTATGGAGTGATTAGCAACTTCATCAAGGCTCTGTTTATCCTGCCCTTAGGGTCATTTATAGCTCCTCGATATACTAGGGACTCTACTGTGATATCTAAGACTGGCATTCAGGTGTATTTCTGAAGAATTTATCATTTTTACTTTTCTTATGATCCTCAAATAACCAAATTTAGGCAAAAAATTAAAACATAGAATTGGGGGGAAAGATTTGCAAAGTTTGAGGGGGTACATTTAAATTTTCTGATGGAGCGCTCTCTCGGTTGCTAATAGAAATTTGGGAAAATGTTATCCCTCAAAGAAAAAACAATTTACCCGCAAAACTTTTGAGTATACTTCCTTGAACAAATCAGGTGGCAATTGGAACAGGATGTCTGCTTTTTGTCTGATACAGGATTGTGTGGGATCTCTGGCCACCACTCTGTAGACCGCTAAGGTGGTGAAGGCATTGGACAGGGAGTTGATCTCAATTTGTTCTGCCTGCAGCACACCTTCTGTAAGCCGCTTCTTTTAAACAAATGCCAATGCTGTCTTGTTTGCTGGTTATAACTTCCTCTGAGAAGCAAAGTTTTGAAGAGCCTGTTAGGATAGTAACTACTTAACATAGAATAAGTAGTATGAATTATACCAGAGAAGTAGTAAGTGGTCATCTAATTCATGGGATTCCTCTCTGATGTTTCCTGCTGTAAGCAATGAATAGTGTATTTACATCAGTCCTAGAAGTCATCTTGATTTATGAGTTTGAAAATATGCTGTCTTTGAATGACATTCATTACGGCATACTCTCAGAGGTGCGTTTTCTCTAATGCTCATGAATTAATGCTGATCCAAGCACTCCTCCAGAGTCCTTTTTGTGTGTATGCCCAAGAACTTCCATTTGCAAGACAAACAGCTGGTTCAGGGACAGTGTGTGCAGCAATGAGAGAAGTAAACTGGGACATGTGAGCGTAGTTGCCAAACCTCAGCTGAATTACACAGTTATTGGGTTTTTGTTGGATTTTGTCTTGTTTTGTTTTGCTTTTTGATTGGTATAGGGGAAAAAAGTGTAAAAGTTCATAAGAAAATTATTAAATCCCGCTTAGTTTTACATCTAATTAATTACCCTTTTTAAAAAGAATACAAGAAATTGAGAATGGTCCAGAAATTTCCCGATACATCTCTTTGAATTCTGACTCCTTTCTGAACCCCTAATCCATATTTCAGCCCCACTTGGATGGTCTTCAGGCATCTCAAACTCAGCATGTCCGAAAGCAAATTCCTCATCTTCTTTCTCAGCCCTCACCTATGCTTGTTCATGTAGTTTGGAACGTACTTCCCAGCTCCAGTCATTGTGATCTCCCACCCCTCTTCCTCTTCCCATGTAGCAAGTCAGCTGCCTCCTCCTATTAAGTCTCCCTGTCAAATGACTGCCTGTACCACACTCCGTGCCAGAGCCTCTGCCTTGATTCATTCCTTTGTAAGCCCTCCCAAGCCAATTCTACAATATAAAGTTTCTAATCAGAGCTAGCATACATGGTCCTTCTTAATTCATACCTAGCACTAGCCCCAGCCCTATAGCTACTTTCACTCATCCTCCCACAACTATACCAGCCTTTGAACAGGCCATCTCTGCCTTCTCTGCCTTCTCTGCCAAGCAAGCATTGCTTCACTATTTAAGACGTGGCAGAAATGTTGCTTTATTTGTGGAATGTTTTCTAATTCCACTAGTCTACTTAGTTATGCTCTTCTCTGTGTCCTCAAAGCTGTCACCTGTGCCTCTGTTACACAGGATAATTATCTGCTTGTCTTTCTTTCTCTTTTGAAACTATGATTGCATCAAGGACAGGACTGGGCCTTGATCATATATTTCTAGCAATTAATCAAGTTCCTGGTACCTAGCAGGAATCCAGATGTTTGTTGAATGATGAATCAACTGAACTTATGCCCTGGGATATGGTAATAATGTGTTCTAAGTAACTGAGGCACTTAGCCACAAACAGGAAATATCTAATAGCACATGGCTTGAGTAGATGTTAGGGGATCGCCTTTTACCCCTAAACCTGTGCTCTATTGGAAATGTTATTCCTTAAAGGGAAAAACAAATTCCTCTGAACCCTACAGAGTTAAGGCTCTATCATGAGCCTAGATCGCATTAAGAAACAAAAATTAAGCTTGGGAGATTTGTTTGAGGTGGACCATTGGGCCCTTCTCCTTAGTGCTTTCTATTCTGTACTCCTCCAGGTGCATTACTAGTCTCTCTTACCTTCCTTCTCTCTGACCCCTTACACATGTTTATGATCAGATATACTTTTCTTTAGTGTTTCTTTTTTTTATTAACAGCCTTCTCTGATTGATGTCAGAATTTTCACTATTACCACCCAAACAGTCTCAACCCTTATTGTCCTTTCCCCTTAAGACTGGTGACAGGACATCGTAGTTCTTCCCCTTCTAAATGATGCCAAAGAGCTCTGTTGTCATAAGCAATGAAGCCTATTACTCTTTTAATAACCACTCCTGCCAGCCTAGATTTGGGGCTGACTGTTCTGTGTTGCCCCTACAGAAGGCAGCTGAAATTCTCAATGATCCCAGCCTGTGTACAGACAAAACAGAAAAGCCCGAGTGATCTGCCAGAACAGATTCTCTCCTCTGCTGGCCATGCTGCAGGGCAGCCAACCAGAGCACTAAGGGTCAGTGGTGAGCTGAAGGCCAGCACTGAGAGCAGCCCCAGGTGTTTAGTCTGATATTTAGTTCTTCCAGGTGAGGTCAGGGACGGAAGCCGCATGTGCCCAAAGAGAGTATGAGCCAAAGTGAAGGCAAATCCTCCTCTTAAAATTGAGTGAAATAAATTTATCATGTGACATGATGGCAGCTTTTGCTAAATAAGGAGATTTGGGGTTGGGGTTCTCCTGAAGTGGAAAATAGTAAAAATATTAATAGTAAAAAGATAAAAGCCCGCTGTGAAAATTAGCCGTAGATTGAGAAGTAGTTCCTCATCAGCATACAAAATATTCACGATATTGTAAGTGAATGGAATTTGCTTTTTTCCTTCTGTTCCATTATACACTTATTTCGTGTGCTGATTTTAAAAATTATGGCACCAAGTGTTCTTCTGTGGGGATTAATCTATCGCTCTTTGACATTCTTTGGACACCAGAAGATTTGGAAGAGCTTTGATGTCCTTTTTTATAATAGAGCCTTGGGAATCACTTATGAAAGATTTATGTTGATAGGGTGTTAGAATCCTTGAGAACCTAATTTTATGCCTTCCTAACTAAAAATTTAGAAGTTTAGTTTTAATCATACGATTAATTCAATGCTTTAATTTCCTTCATCTCATGCTTACTGGATCAATAACTGTTTAAGCAAGATTAAGTCTACAGTTAGCCCCACCCCTAATACCCACTACTAAGTGCCCATGCCTTTGTCTAGGTAGTTTTGTTCACAACCTCTCAACATTTACCAGTCCAGTAGCACCAGGTCTGGAAGCAGCAGAAGTGCTAAATTAAGTCAAGATGGTAAAGTTAGAACTTCAAGTGGTTTGGGAGCCAGAGCCTTATGAAAGTGACAATGGAATGTGATCGTGAGGAGCTATGGAGGGCACCCTATGGTGGTTGAAATAAGACCTGCATGCCAGTGCCGCTGGTTGGGTGAGCTTTGGTCTGTCTTGATGTGGAGGCTGTGGTGCCTGTTCCCTGCCAGAGGGCTGGAGAGCTGGCAGCAGTCAGGGGGAGAAACAGGAGCCAAGGAGGAAGAATGACCCCCTGAGATTGAGGGGCGATATGGTATGGCTATTTATTGTCCCAACTTGGAACTTGGACACGATAATGTCTTGAGAGGACTGTGATTGAGTCCTTGAGATAGATACCAAAAGGAAAAATAATATATGATTGGCTCTTCTTCGTTCAGCCACTTCTCCCTGGCCTCACTTCTCCATACCCAACCCTGGCATTACTTTGTATATCTGGATGCCAACACCAGTGTCTATATATCTATAGATCTAGGTATATAGATAGACCAAATCACATATTGAAACAACAGCTAAAGAATGCTTGGAAGTAGATGCCCGTGCCCTTTCCCAGTCCTACTTAGAATCTGTTTTAACCTAAAGTTATGGAGGCAGACTTGAAGGGAGACATCCCCAACCTTGCTAAAATGTAAGTACGAAAGGCACAAATTGGATGGATATTGATGATGTTGTTTCTATTGTGACATCATCCATAGACTCCTAGTGTCTTTGCTTTGCTTCCCTATAGTGATCACAACATAAATTACTTGTCTTGTTTGACTTCCTTGTTCACCAAAGTTGAGCAGATTGTGGCCGTTTTCAACGCTTCTACCAGACAAAAAGCTTGGGACCATTTCTCGAAAGCCCAGCGCAAGAACATAGACATTTGGCGAAAGCATTCTGAGGTTGGTGATTTTATTATTACTTTTTAACCACCATCACACAGCTGGATTGGCAGAGAATAGCGTGGCTGCAGCCATGATGGTTTCTGTTACAGTGGGCAGTCTGCCTGCCATTGTCTGGTCTCACTGTCAGCTCCAAATGCAGCTGAGATTTGTTCCTTGTCCAAAAAAGCAGCTGACTTAACACTTATGAGAACAGAGTGTTTTTCTCCCCTGCTATGGGAGAAAATAATTTTCCCCATTCATAGTAAAGATCTCAGAAGTAAACCAAGACACTTTGCCTAGCAAATTATTTTGAAGAAAAGTGTAACTTACAATAGAAAGCTGACTTTTAAATACAGAGGGTTTTTTTTTTTTTTAGTGTTCTACGTGATGCTGACAGTTTGCTCTTTGGACAAGTACAACTTTCTGTCCATATTTTCTCATCATAATCCCCTATGCTAGCCAGTAAGTCCTATTACACTTCTCCCCAGAGCCAATGTTGTAAGGGGAGTAAATATCTAGGCCAGCTGGGTCCACCCATCGGCATTCATGCATGTGTGAAGTGTGAGTATCTACCCCCAAGAGAACAGTCTAGAACTTGACCTAGTCACCTAGAAGGACCAAAATGTGTCATTAGTCATTGGTCGTCCAGCTGTTATTTTTAACTCCACAGAGTAGTGTACCCTTTGAACCTGTACTTTAAAAGTAAGTATACTGTCTTTGCTTCTTTTTTGTTTATGAAAGAATGTTTTTCATTTGGATGCCTCTCCATCTCTAGCATGTTAATATTAAAGTTCTCTAAATGATATTCCCCTCTTTCAAAATTCCAAACTTATGGAAGGTAAGGTTTATTTATTAATGATTTTGGCTCACACTTGTAAAATAAGTATTTTATATATATAGAGTTTAAGGAACCACAGAGTACTATGATATCAATCATTTGGGTAGCATTTTAAGTGCCCATTAGCTAATACTAAATTACAGTTGAATACCAATAGCACTAGATGTAACATCCACATGAATACCAAATGAATTCTTTATTATCACTGTTATTATGGTGAATACCGAATGACTTCACAATAATGTGACACTTAAAATGCTAGTGCAATTTATTGTTAAGAAGGACACTTTTTATTTTGTTCACTAATGCCTAAGGTGGTGGGTGACTGATACAGTTCTGTTTTTCTGTTCAGGATTATGAGTAAGGAAGAGGTGGGATTTCTGTCTAATTTTTCAGGGGCCAGAAAAATGAAGGATGCTTTCCTGATGTTCTCCCTGACTCTGACCTAAGACCCAGGTCCAGGTTGATTTTCAGGATTAAAAAAGAGTCCTCTGTTTGTGATACAGTATACAAACTGAGGGTTATGAAAATACAAATTGGAGTCCATAAATGATGATTCAGATTTGGGAATGATCAGTCTGTGAATTGTTTATTTCTTCACATAAAAACCAAACATGATTAAAAGGAGTGTTGAGAGACAGGCTGGTGGCCTGATAATAAACCTGAGCATAAAAAGGCCATCATTAGAATGTGTCAGCAAATGTCACTTACTGATCTGAATCACGCTTCCCACCACATCTGTCTCAACTTTTCACCTTTGCTTAGCCCTGCCTCCTCCCGTGGGTACAGTGGGGAGCAGGATGTGTGAACGCTTCCATGCAGGTCTAAGGAAGCCTGCTTGCTTTGCTTGGTACTAGGAGGCAGAAGTGATGCTCTAGAGGGACAGATGGAGTGCAACTGTCAAAGGTGCTCCTGTGAAGGGTGTTTATGCCTTCCTGCTACTCTTCCCACCTCTTTGATATATGTTAGGACACAGAATTCTAAATTAGCTGTGATTTTCTCTCCCGCATGTCACTTAATTGATTAAATACCAGTTGGTAATTTAACATTGTGGATGATTTCTCAGTTGCGTATAAGCTTGATAATTGGCTTGATTTTTTCCCACATTCCAATGTACAGCATCTGTTAATTATCTGCAACACCTCTACAGATTTATTAGAGTGTACTAGTGATTTAATGCTGAACCAGAGGCACCCTGTGGAAACACCCTCAGCTTTTTTTTTTCCTCAATTTTTTTTTCATTTCCACCACCCTTTCCCACAAGAACAACTACCATATGACAGTGTGTCATTAATCGCAAGGACTAAACAACAGGCCCTTTCAGCCTCATTTATTCTTTCCACCTGACTTTTCCTTGTTTCAAGTGTTTTCAGGCCACCTCTTTGGGAATTGGGCTCTTTGTCAGTAGAAAAATTAGCTGTCCACAGCCTAAAAATTTCCCCACTAATCACATGTGACACCCGCCTCCAATGCCTGATGGTGTTATTTAAGATGGAATTGGCACCTCTTTCTTCTGGGTGGCATAATCAAATAAGGAAGCCTTGTCTGCCGTCCCTCTGGCCTCTTAGATCTGCCCTGTGATTGGTGCCCCTGACCCCACCCCAGACCTTGTCTCTCTGCTTTCCCCCTTCCCTGTCTTCTGCACGGGTGATTCCCAGGGTACATAGTTGATCATTCAAATGCTGTTAGCAATAAATAATTTCTTCTCCATCATGCTATAGTTAAAATCTGTGAGCTAAGGAGAGTAAAGAATTGAGAGAACCCATAACATGAAGTGATATCTGCATGTCCATCAAATGGGCACTGGAACCATGTTTAAAGTCATACCACTAATAAATTAGGTGTAGTAATTTACTTTTATTGTTACTCATATGTTTATTGATCATAAAATGAAATTATTGTAACTTTGACTTTTATTTAGAGACTTTACAGAGGGAAAAAGAATAAGGGAGCCTTTCCCGTTTTAAGTATTTCTGAAGACAGTACATGTAAGAGAACAGAATGAATAAGGAAGGATTCACAAATATGTAATATACAGCTTGATACAAAATAATATAAATATTTAGCAAAAGTGATTACAGTGTCCTGATTTTAGGCACAGTAGTAAGAAATTTACTATATAATTCTTTACTCTTTACAATGAGTTTTCACAAATGCTGTTGCATTCAGACAGCTTTGTATTGTTATTCCTCATTTGTGAGTGAATAGACAAAGTCTCAAATAAATTAAATAACTTGATTGTAGTCACTCCCCTAATAAGTGGAGAAAGTAAGATGTGATCTTAAGATCTGTGGCTCTAAACGTGATGCTAAAGCAACAATTACAACAAAAACAATAACCCCTACATGACCATGTGCAGCACAAAAGAAAAGGCATCTGTTTGTGTTTTATTCCCTAACATCTTACTAATTTTAAATTTAGTTATCTGGATGGTGTATGTGTGCTTATATTTGTGCATATGTGATCACACATGTGCACATACGCACATGCAGGGGCACCATGTTTGCATGAGAAATAATAATTTCCAGCATTATCAACTTAGCAAACCAGGTGTCTGGCATGATACTAAGTATTGTACATGCATTAACTCATTCATCCTCAAAACTATTTTTATCATAATATTCCAGGGAGCAATTTAGTTTAATAGAGATGAAGAATTCTTTCTAATGTCACACACAGTGGGTGAGTGGTAGAACAGTCCTTTTTAAAATTCCACTGTTAATGTTCCTAACCATAAGTTCTAGGTCCATACTGTACATATGCCAGCCATGTAACAGATATTTTTATGTAGTCTTTGCAGCTCTGCTAGGTGGATGTTATTATCCCCTTAGTAGAAACGAGGAAATTGAGACTCAAGAGAGATTAAATAATTTGCTAAAGAGCCCTTAATTAGTCATAGGTGAGCAGGGATTAATCTCAGCCTGACCTTGGTCTATCCTCTACCCCATACCCTCCAGAACCTCCTTTAGGTTAGGTGAGGCTATATTTGGGAGATAAAACCTTTGGATTCTAAATGTTAATATGTCAGTTATATACACCCAAAGACCATTGGGGAAAGTCATATGTGTCTATGACTCTGACATTTGGGTATCCTCTACTTGCAGGAGCTCCGGAATGCTCAAAGTGAGCAGCTCATGGGCATCCGCCGCGAAGAAGAAATGGAAATGTCTGATGATGAGAATTGTGACAGCCCTACAAAAAAAATGAGAGTCGATGAATCAGGTAATGCCAATAACTGCCACAGACCCATGAGGTATCATAATGATCTTCCAAATCTCAGATGGGGAGTAAGTATTGGGAAATGGCCCTATAACTCACTTTTATTTGAATTATACTAAACTTTCATCTTTGAGTGACTCTGCTTTTTATTAATAGAACTTTAAACTCCTTCTTAGGAACAGAGTGATTTAAATTGCTCCAGTTGTTTCTCCATATGTAGATCTGGGACCATTATGCTTTTTTTCAGGGATATTTGCCTGTTTCCATAAAAATCCTTTTCCAGAGCATGGCAGCCACAGCTGATGCTAAAATACGGATAAAATTTGGTTTTAGTCAGTGTACTTCTTACATGGGAATTGTTTAATCCCCCTGAAGAAGCTTTCTAGCTTCTGAGCCAAGATGCTGGAGAATTAGACTTCTTTTCGCATAAATCTTCTTTCACCTAACCTGTATGTAAAAAGCTGGCCCCATCTGGTATCAAGCTAGGGTTGTCATTCCTTGGGTTGTAAAAAGAAGGGAAGCTTAGAGAGAATCTTGCTTGGTGTGCTTTGTCTAATGGGAGATGCTAATTTAAAACACTCTCATTGAATTATATATAAATCCATTGGTATTGTAAAAGCAGGCAAGGGAAAAGCTCATTCAGAACATGAGACACCAAGGAAGACTGCTTGTCTGAGTGGAAAGGTATTGTCTAAAGGACCTAGGAAGAACCGTAATTGCCATGATTGCCAAAAAAGAAAATGACAGAGATGGTATAGATTTGATCTGTCTCCTCGTGTACAAGTGAATAAAACACACATTCGTTACAGACTCTTTAACAGAAAGATTGCAGGTGATTAGAAATCAAGGATCTTTGTTAATTTATTAAGAGGCCAAAATCAAGATTCCAAAAGGATCAGGTCACCAAGACGGCAAAGTGGTCAGGATGTTCTGTTTCTCTGGGGCTGTAGAAGAGAATGTCAGGAGTGCGAGTGGCGATCATAAGAAAAAGCTCCTGCATACAGGCATATATAGAAAGGGCTTTAATTTCCTTAAAGTAGTGGTTCTCAGTCCAGTAGCATCAGCATCATCTAGGAACTTACTAGAAATGTAAGTTAGCGGGCCCTACCCAAGACCTACTGAATCAAAAACTTTTAGTGAGTACAGGGGTGTGGGCAAGTGAAATCCAGCAGTCTGTGATTTAAGCCCTATGGGAAATTCTGATGCATGCCAAAGTTTGAGTACCACTGCCTTAGAAGCTTTCCCTTTCACCCTCAAATTCCATTCATTTTAATCTTCCAGAAGTTAAGCGTACAAGCCAGCACTATGCCACTATATTCTGAAGCCATATGTCCTTTGTCTGAAAAATGAACCGAGCACTTATGTGTCAATGATGTATGTCTCCTACTAAGCCCATGTCAGATTCCTCAGGACTGCTTTACTCTCGGGTTTGTTTATTTGAGGAGACCACCTTCCTCACAAGATTTCTATTCTCCCAACCTTCACATAGCAAAAGAAGGGAATCAAGGATTTGTGTGTTTCTTAAATTCAACGAGATCTTCAAATAAAGAAATACATTTTTTTGTCAAAAGCGCTTTCATCCTTTGTGAAGCTTCTGGATGAGGGGCAAGTTGACATGAAACTTGGATGCTTAATATCCTGACAAGGTAGGTGTAGGAGAAAAGAGCTGCATCAGTCAGAAGTTCTGATTTGAACCTGTGGCTTTTTGTTTGTTTTGGTGATGTTTCTTTTTAAATAGCTTGTCAGCTTCCCCAGTAAGAATTGTATATAATTTCATAGTCTGCTTAGCATAGGACCAGAATAATGATGACTCTGAACAGTGCGCTCACTGATGAGGTATTGCAACACGTACATGCCTATAGGATTGGGGCTGGCCAATCCCCCGACACCTCTCTTGGTTTATTCAGTAGGCATCTGATGAGATCATGAAGTAGGGCCTGAACTTTCAAAACACTTTTACCAGTCTGGTTACTTGATCAGCGGAATTAATGAGCAAAGAGCAGGGCATGTTGTGTACCAGGTTCTGAGGGAAGAGATGAAAGAACTGGAGTTCAAATGCCAGGCCCTGAGGAGTTCAGAGTCTTTTCATACTTTTCAAAATGAGATGGACCAGAGATCATGGCATGTGGTTTCTGAAGAAAGGACAAGGCTGATTAAAGGGAAAGGAAGGCAACTAACCTTTTTTATTCCACGGGGGCCCTGAAGATCTGGCCCAGAGGCAGGCAGTTGTCTTCCTTTCAGCCCTGCTTATTTGGGGACACAGCCTGACAGCAAGAATTCCCATCTGGTCTTTTGTTCAAACCTCAGACAAATCCCTGCTAACCGTTGCTTGAAGGGGAAGGATGGAGGCTATAGCCCGAGGGAAACACCTTCCAGTGGCATCTCCTTAGGTGACACATCACTTGTTTTTAGGTACACATTTGCACCTGCCAGTCACCTACATAGAAGCAGTCCTCTCGAAATGTAGCACTCTAATTCACTAACAGGGAATTGCCAGTGCTGAAATGGAATTCAATTCTCCATCCTTTAAGGAATCCCTTGCCAATTTCCTCTCTGCTGCAACAGTGGGATTTTGCCCCAGACCTCCCGGGTAGTGGCTGACCCAGGAATTCTTGGAAATTCCAGAAGAGAATATCCTTCAATTGTCACCTCCCTGTGCCATCTTTGGTCCCCCAGGGCCAGCCTTGCTTGTCATCTCCATACTCAGACAAAAACTACCCTGAAATGGGTTTTATTTTGGGGGGCAGGGAGGAGATGGAAAGAATTGACTTGTTTGGTGTTTAGAAATGACTTGTTTGGTGTTTAGAAAAGGCATAATTTATTGTGTAAGGACTTGTGTGATAACTTGGGTTTACTTTTTAAAAAAAATAATCAAAATGTTTCAATATATCTTTGCTGTTTTGGATATGAAGAATATTTCATTGTACTTTTGCTTTTTACCGCATATAATAATTTGCAATATGTCTTTAGCTATAATTCTCCAATACCTACAATAGAATTCTGGGTGGGGTGTTCACTCTTCTTCATCAATTGAATCTTAAAGAGGAAAAGGAGTTCACTGGAGCAAAACTAAGATGCTGATAAAAATGAAAATCAATTTTGTTAATAAATTTGAAAATGATGACAGATTTATTGAAGCATTCATTCAAGAAGATCAGCATCCTGCTCTAAAGCCTGTGAAGATAATTTTTGATAAAAATTCGAATTTATTTTTGTTTAGTCTGCCTCCTACTGAAATGAAGCCAAACTTTAAAATCCAGATCTGTTCTTCCTTTTTCTCTTTCTGTCTCTCCTCCTCCTTCCCTCTCTCTGCCTCTCTCCTACTCCCTTACCCTTTTCCACTCCCTTCCTCCCTCCAGGCTGACTCTGCTGGGCAGGGTAGTATTCACAAGAAATTTAAAAGGAGAAAGGAAAGAGGAAGTCTGTCCTAGATTGTAGGGCCTCAGATGACAAAACCCTATACGTTGTAGTATTGTGAGAGTTAATGAGTCCATGCGTGTAAGGCACTTCTGACCTCACTTAGAGTGTTGAGCATCTAGTAAATACTCAGTAAGTGTCAACTCTGCTTGTTATCTTCCTCATCCTCCAACACCCAGCCCTGAGCTTTTCCCCAGTAAGTACTCAATAAAAGTCTGTGGACTTCAATTCATATTCCCCTTCTTCTGATGTAAATGTTTTTGATGCCTTTGTCCCAGAAGTTGATAGGAAGATGATAACCCTGAGAGCATTTGTTCTGAATAAATTGAAATGGCAAGTATAAAGAGGCATGTTCAAACAAAATGTAGAACTTTATACACACAAAATTCAGTGCCACATGGTGAACAGGCCATGGCCCAGAGAGCTATAGTCTGGCATTGTTTTGATTTCTACATTTTGTACGTTCAAGGTGCTGTGGACCCTGGGCACAGAGAGTTAGATACAGGGCACCCTGTCCTGCAGGGTGTTTTAAGTTAAAAAAGTGTAATTCTAATGTTAGGTATGTCCTAAAGCCAGTAAATAAAAAAAAATTAGTATAAACCACAATGAACATCACTACATAGTGTGTATACTTCACCCACTATTTGATGAGTGTACTTTGAACACAAATTTTAGAAGAGTGAAACTAAAAAGTCCCTTGCTCAATAGACAATCATTATACCATTCCATAAAACACAAACAAATGTTTCTGAATTTTAACAACATTTCATTTAAACTCTGAGCTCTTTATAGAAGCAGATGCTCTTAATTACGAAGAATGTCTTCTGAGTTGTCAATTTTTCATGAAAATTCACCATAACACAGGTACAAAGGAATCTTTTTTTTAACTTCACTAAGAAGTCAAACAAGGACTTTCCAAATCTTTCAGCCACTAAATCAAATTAGGAACTCATAATTAGATTCGGTTGGAACTAGCAGTATCAGCCTGTCTGAATAGTTACATATGTAGCTGGAAGCTTTACATTAAAATAATACTGATAAATACTAATAGGGCTCTCTCTGACCATCCCATTGATTTCTTTGAATAGCAGGACAACCTATTTTCTTCTGATTAAGTATTTTCTGCGTGGTAGTGCTTCTGAAAGATCCTTAAAAATGCCCGTCAGGAGAGTATAATCAGGCACAGTCTTGACAAGAGGCTCACTGCTACCGCATCACTGGCCTGGGCACAGATGAAGGAGCGGGTTACTGAATACCAGACAGGGTGCGGCAGCTGACTGAAGGGGCCAACTGAAAAGGGCTTTGTCATTCACAGCTGGTAGAAACTTACTTTTAGGAAGCACTGAATGTAACCTAAAGAAGGCTGACTCTAGATTGGCTCAGAACTTGGCAGAGGGTCAAGAGAATTCAGACACTGAAAGTGAGATGGCTCAGTCTGAGGCCACACGTTGGGATCTGAGCTCCAGGCACCAGCAGACCCCAAGGGTAGGGGTGTCTGTGTCGAGTGGAAGCATAGAAGGATAAGCTATTTTCACATGTAATGACAGCCCAGGGCACTATCTCCTGAAACAGAAATAGAGCAGTGG